TTAAGCGGACCTCTTATCCGAAGCGCATTACTGTATCGTCGGCTAGTCGTCACAGCGGCTATCGCAAACTTGATGTGATGTCCCGTTTTCTATTCCTGGGTCCTTTGCTAGGTTAGGTTCGTTCAATTTAGTAGATCAGTTTAGTGGCGTTGTGAACGCTCGGGAGGACGGGCTACTATGTATGTATATGTATAAATGTATCGTGTATGCATGTGTGCCTGTTTAATGTACACGTGTATAAGCAGTGGCTAGGGGAGGTTATCTTGAAATGATTTCGGGGCTTGGTGTCCCTGCGGCCCGGTCCTCGATCAGGCCTCCACCCCCAGGAAGCAGCCCGTGACAGCTGACTAACTCCCAGGTACCTATTTACTGCTAGGTAACAGGTGCATCAGGATGAAAGAAAGTGCCCATTGTTTCTCGCCGGCGCCCAGGATTGAACCCGGGACGACAGGATCACGCATCCAGTGCTCAGCCACTGGTGATAGTGACTGTGGGTTATAGTGAAAATCCCAGCATCTGTGGTCCTAATGCCAGAGACTGATAATAGCAGTGATTGTAATGATTACAATCATCAATCATTTGATGATTGTAATCATGAGGTGATTGATGGTGATCAGGTGATTATCATTGACACAGTGACTCTGGTGATAATACATTACTGTAGTGATCATAACATTCACTGTAGCGATAACAATAGCAGTGTAGTGATGATAGCGATGGTATCGACAGTGACTGTGTTGATAACATCAGCATAGCCGCGATAACGGTGACTCATGAAAGTGACAATGACTGTGATGGTGGTAGTTACAGTGACGACTGATAGTGTAAGTAGCAAAGAGAGGGGGAAGTAAAATAGAAAGCCAGGAATGGTTTCACCGTTGAGACCGACTGTGTATAGTGATTCCACCAGTGTAACGAGGTTGAATGATTCCACCGGTTTAACGAGGTCGGATGAGCGATGACACTAGCCAATCACGAGTCACTCCGATCCAATCACCAAAATCCAATCGCGTGACACTAGTCGTGTCACGTGATTGGATTTTTTTTCTTCCCAATATCACACATTTATTCAGTCAAACTATTTAAAGGTCCACGGGGGGGGGGGCAGATGAAACGTCTTTGAGGAATACAGATAAGCAGTTATTTTCTATCACCATCTTCAGATGAATTCAACTTGAAAACTTAAGTTGAAAATCGTTTCTTTGTCGAAAATTTCCGGATTTTATGGGGCTTTCATTTTGATATGGAGATAAACAGCCTCTTGGTAAGTGAATTGGTTGAGAGGGTGGGTAGGTGAAAAGGCTGGCTATCTATCTACTTATCTACCTTGTGTCTACCTTGAGTAGCTTCCGGGGATCAACAGCCCAGCGGCCTGGTCTCCGACCGGGCCTCCTGGCTGATCGTCTGGTCAACCAGGCTGTTCTCCGCGGCTGCTTGCAGCCTGACATATGCATCACAACCTGGTCGATCAGGTATTCTTTGGGGGTGTTTGACGAGGTCTTCAACACTGTGAGGAGTCGGCCAGTTATGCTCCTTACGTGTAGCGGGAGAGTGTTGAAAAGTCTTGGGCCCTTGATGTTGATAATTCTATTGCAAAGGTGCAATAGAGTACCTATTGCACCTTTGCTTTTCAAGGTGGCTAGGTGGCTCTTATTGGCACTGGTGCCTTAGCTAGCAGAATGGTACATTCAGACACCTCAGTACAGGGAGAGAGAGAGAGGGGGGGGGGGGAGAGAGAGAGAGGGGGGGGGGAGAGAGAGGGGGGGGATGTGGTGGTTGCAGTGCCACTCGTCACTGTACAAGGAGACAGTGTGACAGTGTTAAGGTGTCGGAGGGCGCTGCGATCATACCCTGGCCAAGCTAAGCTGTGTCTTGGGGGCTTTATAACTGGCCTTGTAAAGGGAGGCGAGGGTAAGTAGGGGAAGACGGGACGGGGTGATTATGTCACCTTATATCACTGTCACCCGACATGCTCTCTGTCTGTCTGTCTGTGTGTCTCTCTCTCTCTCTCTCTCTCTCTCTCTCTCTCTCTCTCTCTCTCTCTCTCTCTCTCTCTCTCTCTCTCTCTCTCTCTCTCTCTCTCTCTCTCTCTCTCTCTCTCTCTCTCTCTCTCTCTCTCTCTCTCTCTCTCTCTCTCTCTCTCTCTCTCTCTCTCTCTCTCTCTCTCTCTCTCTCTCTCTCTCTCTCTCTCTCTCTCTCTCTCTCTCTCTCTCTCTCTCTCTCTCTTTCTCTCTCTCTCTCTCTCTCTCTCTCTCTCTCTCTCTCTCCCTCTCTCTCTCTCTTTCTCTCTCTCTTTCTCTCTCTCTTTCTCTCTCTATTTCCAACTAGAGACCAACTGTGCCATCCTCCTTATAGTTCACCAGACTAGTCACTTTCATTATATATATATATATCGCCAGAAGGTGATCAGGTGTATATGCTGTATACTCAACAACGATCATGAAACCACTGATCAAATATGTGGAAAAACCTACTTGGTGTACTCAATAACCTGCTTGTC